ACTTACGATATCAACTTGCTTGAAACATAGAAGTGTCACATTTCGTGGGAAACGGGCTGGGAGAAAAACATGCTCCTGTATACAATGGAAGGATAAAGTTGAATTGTTATTTCTTAAACATACTTGGACCTCTTGGGTTTTTCTTTCATTTATTTTTTTTTTCTTTCTTTGTGCTTGTGCAATGCCACCTTCAATTTGGACTCAGCTGACACTACGGCCCGACGCCTGAGTGATCTCGTCTACCTAAGATCAAAGTCACAATGTGGGTAGGTTATACTTGAGATCAAGTCAGTTACTCCACTAACCAATGTTGCAAGTGAGCTGTGAACAATAGAGTTAGAATTGAACCGGTACAACTGGTGCAGCCGTTAACCTCAATGACCAGAACTCGACCCTGGTGCCACATATTGGTGCCATAACCACTGGATTCGACCCTGGACGGCTGAGTGTCACATATTGGTATCCTGACCAGGGGATTTCACTGAGTAGTGATAACCACCGAATAACTGGGACACAGGCTGGTGGCAGCAACAAAGAGTCAACACCAAAACACCGGTAGAAGAAACCTTACAGCTTTGCGCTGGGACTGGGAGTTGACCACAGGCCGATGGCTTGGTGTCACACTATTTCCAGCCTGATTCTGCTGCACACTCTATTTCATCAAGATTCAGATGATAAGTTTATTACATGGCTGAGTAAGCTGATTGTCCCATGGAATTCATATACGTTTGGATGTGGCATCTTAGACAGTGCTATGAAAATGGATTTACTTAGGTCTTCTGGTATATCGCCACTATTGTGTATTTCATTTATTATGTCTAATCTTGTCTATGCCAAAATCATCTAAGGCTTTTAGAATCTCAATTATGATTCAGTTTGGTCCTGCTGCTTTGTTTCTGTTCAATTTACCAATTGCTGATTCCACTTCAGATTTTAATATTTCTGGTCCTTCTTTATTTGTGTATTATCAGTTATTCTCTTTTGTCATGGAAGAATAATCCAATGTACATATTCAATCTCGGAAGTATTTTTTCTTTCTCTAATAGGAGTCATCTTTGAATTTTATGCATCCTGCTGATGTCTTTTGTCCTGTTCTCTTATTTTTTTATGCATATTTACTTTATCAGTGCTATTCATTCTTTCTGAACATTTTTGCTGAGCCATTTCTCTTTAGCCTATCTGCATTTGTTCCTAGTTTCTTTGTGAAGAGTCCTATATTCTGTGTCATACCTTGACACCATTTTGTCTCCTTTCCATCATGTCAAGAATTTCATCTGTCATCCGTTCTTTTTTCCTTTGGGATGATCTCTATTGATGAGGTTATTAACACTTCTCTTAATGTGTCCCACTTTGAGTTCCATTCTCATTTTGTCCATTGTATCTACTATTAACACTGTCCATATATTTCTCTTTGACATTCCAGTCTGTCATATTGCAATTTTGGTGCTGCCTTAGTCCTCTTCAATTTCTGTAGATTAAATCTAAGCTTACATATTACTGGAAGGTGGTCACTCCAACAGTTGGCACCTGGGTATGTTTCGCACTGTAATCTCTTAGTGATAGTTATATAGTTAATATGGTTTTCGTTTCTCCTCCTGGGCTTCTCCATGTCCATATATATCTTGAATGTTCTTGAAACCAGGTGTTGGCTACTACCTGATCATTCGCTATGCACCATTGGACCCAATTTCTCTGCATTCATTACAAGGTCCTAATTTGAATTTGCCCACTATTTCACCATCTCTCTCCTACTTTTGCATTCAGGTCTCCCATGAAATTGTAATTTCTTGTGATTATTCAGTGGGTGATTATCCATTTTATAATGTTTGGTGTTGTTAAATTGAAAACTTGCAGGAATTCTTTAAGAAAATTTTTTTGTTAGTTTCTGAAATGCATCATTTCAATATAAAAATAAATCATGGGATTATATTATTGAATATATTTTTCAAAAATGATTGTTCTACTAAATCATCTTAAAACCAGTACTAAAAGTTTTGAACTTATCTTAAAATTTTATTTATAAAGATAAAAATGTTTATAAATTTCCCTTCTACAATTCAAGAATATATACAATTTAAGAATATATAATCAATATTAAAAATGTATATTTTTTCAAGTAGTAAAAATATGTTTATGAAGCTATATTAAAAAAATGCCATACTTATCCATTTAGAGAAACATTTACTGGGTAATTTTTGTTTTTAATTCTTGCACCTTTTTACATATAATGAATTAACTCAAATTATATTGTTCATTTTCTGTGCCTGATAATGTAAGTTTATTTTAATTGTTATTAAAACTATGCATACAAGGAATATCTATTATCATAGTGAAAAAATATTTTCTTCTGTAAAACAAAGTTAGATACTTGTAGATGTGACAAAAATCACAATAAAATTTGGAAATCCTCTTCTGTAGTTCCAGATCTAATCTTTGTAACTATTGTCCTGTTAGATTTCTACCTCTTTTTGGCAAAGTACTAGAGGCCATAATCAGCTCAGAATTGGTTAAGCATCTCACCTCACAGAGTCTTCTTTCCAGCAATATGGTTTTTGCTTATCTAATGTATTAGCAATTATTGCTGAAAGAATCTTTGGAACTTTAGATAAGAATGAAGCTCATGCTGTTGGTTTGGTTAAAGTCATTTGACAGGGTTTGGCACGTTGGACTTCTTCATAAGTTGAAAGGTTATAATAATATTCCTGGATGAGCTTTTGAACTGATTCAACCTTTCTTTCTAAATTGTGAAATGAAAGTTTTATTTTATTTTTTTAACAGTCACTGTTCAAGGGGTTTTTTTTGCATTAATACAAGTGTCCTCAAGGAAACTGCTTGCTTTTAATCATTTGAGAGAAACATTTTTGTCTTCCATCAACAGAGCTAATGCTAACCTTAAGGAGATTTTCTCATTGTGCCTTCTTGAGTTAACGTTTTCCACTGACATGAAGTGGAAAGATTTTACTGAATCAATTACTAGGTCTACTGCTAGGAAATTTGGTTCACTATGTCATGCTAGACAATTGTTTCTGCTGAGATTCTATCTTAAACCTTTATAATATGTCTACCATTCATCCAGGTATTGCTATGTATTTAAAGATTCTTGATAAAATATAAATAGTTTGTAATGTTATTGGTCCTGGCCTGGCATCTTGGTTTCAGTCACTTTCCCATCAGCATAAAGTAGCTTCTCTGTAGCTTTTCTATAAATATTTACACAGTACTAGATTGGTAACAAAGTCATCATTTTACAGTTGAAATGGCTAGGTTCTATGCTAAAAGTTTATCTTGTACTACTCATTTGTGAAACTCTTCCAGCCTCTTGCTTTCCAGTCAACTTTGATCTTCAAAAATTTAAATGCAATAGCAATTGTTATCTTTGGTCTTTTTAATTCCTGCTCTCCCTCCTTAATGTTTTCTTTTTCTCATATTCACTCACACTCATTACCCCATCCCCATTTCTTAATGGCTTTATTGCCTTGCTTGGGAGGAAACAGGAAAAAAAAATCTTAATTTTCACTATTATTAGTTTTAGTAAATCTTATTATTGTTGCTCTTAATTATTACTAGTTTTACTGTATATTGTTACTTTTCATCATAATGCTCTGGGTCAGTACACTTTTTAAAACTAATAGAACAACCAGTGCAAAATCATAAATACTGAAATAGTTTGCAACAAGACTAACTGGTATCACACAACTTTCCTAAATATCAGCTTAATCACTTCAGCCATGGAATCTTATGATTCATGCAACATGAATTCATAGTCATTCTGACACACCTTCCTTTTTGATTCTCGCTTTACCAATAAATAACAGAAGTCTTAATTTTTTAAAATATTTTAGATGAAACATTTATATCAATATCATCTTACTCAAGAGAAATGAATTCTTTATTCCGATTTGTTGTAAAAAGCAGCAATAATCAGATGGAATAAAATTAGTATTAATTTTTTTTTTTTACAGTAAGATTCACCCTGTACAAGACCTGGGGACCCCTTGAGTTAAAGCGTTATGTTAAGGGATAGTTTATATGGATTACAGGGGAAGATAACTCTTAACTCTAGACTTGAACAGGTTAAAATTGTAGTGATCAGGAAAACATCCTCTTGAGAATATGTTCCACAGAGCAGTGGTTCACAGGAAGAAGCTGTTTAAGAGAAGTGTATTTCTTGCTGATAGAATACTGAAGAAATGTGGGTGGTTTGCTACAATGTAAGTGGCATGATGGGTCCTAGCTGTGAAGGTTAGACCTGGATGAACCAAGGAATATAGTTCATCTGAATACTTTCCATGGAAGTAGTGACAGAGCAGTGAGAGGCTCACCACATCCCACCTGTGAGTGGGAGTTTGTTACTGACTGGGAATCAGAGATGCTTTTGAACTCTATCAAGACTGGAAAGTGGAAGAGTGTATTAACCCAGAGAGATAAAAAGCAACAATAATAAGATAGAATAAAATAATAGAAATAATAATGAGTGTATCAACAGTAGTACTAAAATAGAATAAAATCGTTTAATAATAAGCCTAATAAAAATTCATATAATTTTCTTTTTTTATGATTATTGAGAGAAGTTCCAACAGACTATGCTTTATGAAATCAATTCATAGAAGAAATAAGATTTTGCTGAAAAAATAAAATAAAAATAGGGCTGCTGTTTTTAATTTCTTTAAATTATAAGAATCAATAGTCATGCAGACAATTTGAAAAAAGTAAAGGCATTTGATTATTATCAGCAAAATTTAATTGATTCTGATTATATTCAGTGTTATTTGTTTTCTGTTCCATGTCCTCAGAAATTATATTTTTTTTTTGTAAATTGTCATTGTTTTAAGACCTACTTGGATCACTATATATATATATATATCAACTTTTTTCTTATCAACTGAATCTGATCCATATGGGATGATTTATATGTCAGCTTACTTTTGCATCATTTCAATAGAAACTAAAACTAACACTTTTGAGTGATACAGATTCTTATATATAAAGGTTTAGATTACCTTCAAATGATTCTTTGTAGGCCACAATATTTCTGTGATTAAGAGTGGCCAACATAGAGACCTGAATAAAAGAAAAAGAAAAATAGGCAATAATACATGGAAAAGCATAACAGGAGCAACATGTCTTTATTCCTAATTTGAAGAATAAAAAAAGCATTCCTATTATTTTACATATAATTTGAAGTTTTATTAAGAGCAAAATGTCAACAAGTCATGTAGAATAAAAATGAAATGAATGGCTTTTAATAACAATTTATTAAGGGACATGCTGTCTTTGTGCTTCCTCTTCTCTTTTTTCATTTCCTGTCTAGACAGTTCTATCTTGACTAAGAAATGGTGGGAAGGAACATATGTTGCTTGACAACAGGGCAGATTGATCTAACAGAGTAAATAAAAGTCGCTCACATAACATACACCACCATGTAGGATTTTTGGTATTGTAATTTCAGTTTCCCGATAATCTCTGATGGTGACAGATTGTCAGAAAACCAACTCTCAGTGACAGCTTATAAGAGATGGGCCCATGATCTTATTCCATTACTTGTTATGTAAGGAATAAGGAAATATAGATGGTGTCAGTCTTTTACTCAAGACTAAGTAAACCAGTACCTTTTAACAATCATGTGAATCTGTTCAAGAATCATTAAGATTCAATGCATTTCAATTAGTACTGAACATTCAGTCTGTGGTCCCCTGAAATTATTAAAGGAAAGTTGACTACCAGAAAATCTGAAAAATGAAAATCTGTTAGACTATGTGTGTCAATTTCAAGATTGATCCATATTTTGTTGTTTTTTGTTAAATAAAATTGTTTAAAAGTTCATCTTGTGTTTGTTATTTATCAGTATCTGTTCATGTGTTCCTATCTGAATGAGCTCATCATTTCTTTTTTTGGAACCTGGCATTCATACCTCTGTATGTCGCAAATTCATATATATATATATATGCCTTAAAAACCTCAGAAAATTTCAGTCACTCTTATAGCCTCTTTCTCTATTTCACTCGCAAAAATACACACTACTTTTATAAACAATACATTTCTTTCCTCTCATTTTTCAGTAATATTTTACTGTAGTATATTTTTCCTCGCTGAATTGCTTTCACTTAACCTTGAAGTTCTTTCAATCATGTGAAATGTTATTGATTGCTTATTGTGTTACAGTAGATATTATCTGACACTTGAGACATAAAACACACACAATATGGTCGACCAATGCTAAGCTTTTAGCCAATACTGACTTACTGTTAGTCCATGTAGTCATTATGACATTAAGGTTTATAATATCTAGTGATTTGAATTGTTGGCAACAGTAGCAATATCAACCATGGATAAAAAGTAATAAACTTATATATATAAATATATGAATAAATGTTGCTTAGCAAGCTTCTTGCTAAAACTCTTAGTTTTATGATAACTCGATTTTAAGGAGCCTGTGGGTACGTACACACACACACACATATTATATATATATATATATATATATATATATATATAAAAAGAGAGACACACACAATGTTAGATTTTATTATGCAAGTCATTGTTTGCACAATTGGTATTAAACAACCAATGTTGGCAAAATTTTTTGGAGGTACTTATATTTCTATCAGCAATATATTGCATGAATTTCAGGTTATAATAGCTATCCTTGCTAAAAAATTTTGATATCTTGTTTTGACGATGTCATGTTTTATTATGTAAACAAACTAAATGCAACAAGTTGTTATTTATAAATAAATCCAAAAGATATAAGCCATAAAAATATAATTATACAGTATATAATCTACTGGAATAAATTATTAGTGTACATATTAATAAGGGCTCATTGATATTTTACAACCTTCACCAGTGTTTTATACATTGATTTTGTTAACTTTCCTACAATTTTGACTTTAATGTTACTTGCAGCAGTTTTTATCATCTCCAAGAGATTTTCTTTGATTGAATCTTGTTTCTCCATCTCACATAAATTTCTTCAAGCATTCTATTGAATTAATACCTGAAGTGACGAGAAGCAATTCCATGTTTTTACAACTGTTTTGTTTTTTGCAAAGTTGGCAATAGTTAGCTTTGCAGAATATGAAGGAGCAATGTCTTTCACAAATATAGTCTTTAGATTCAATTTTTTTTCAGATTCAACATCATCTTGTTCCAAAACAATATTTTTTTCTTCATTTATCTTGATAACATCAACCAGTTTGAAGGGTTCTAGAACCACCTACAATACTAGTCTAAAACATTAGTCTACATTTTTCCCTGTTTCTTCTAAGTCTTGTTGGTTGACTGTTTCCATGATGGACCCAACCTCTAGTCCAGACATCAGATCTATCCAATATACATTCATTACTAAAAATGACTGCCATTTACATTTTCCTTTTACATAAACATTTTTAATAATTTCAGTAACTTAATATTTTCTCATTTAATGTTACATCATTCTTATGACACATAAACCTTATATAACTGAAACAAAGCTTTTATACTTGAGGTCTGTGTAAAATGAATGTTGGCGCATATTGACAAATTTTAAACACATTTAAACATCATTACTTCATCCGATGATGTGCATGTGTCTCCAATATATATAATTTAAATAAAAACAGACCACTTTAAGGTTCCATGTAATAAATTATTTCACCACAGCCCTTTCAAAGGACTGCAGATCATCAAACTTTACTTCGAAACAAAAAATGAAAAAAAATTTACACATTTTTGACGGGCCGTATTAAACATATGTAAATTAACGAAGTGAGGAAGTGAGCGGGGAGAGAGAAGATGTTAATCGACTATTTCATAGAAAATCCCCAAAATTTAAAAAAAAATTTAAATCACTAACAAACATCAAATTCAAATTAAATTATTTGTAGACAGTTTAGAGACATTCAAATTTATATCAAACATTATAATCTTTATGAACCCTCAAAATAACACTTTTAAAGTAAAACAAAATAACAGCATCTGTTTCTAGCTTTTTTTTGTTTTGTTTTTTACAAAGAAAATTAGTGACACCTTCTCTCATAACTTACTTCTCTCTTTTTCTATCTATGGGTTTTTTCTTCTCTACACCTTCAATAAGTTAACCGTTTAAATGTGTCAATATCTGCTAACTCACTCATATCTTCTCTCTCCCCCTCACTTCGTTAATTTACATATGTTTAATACGGCCCGCCAAAAATGTGTAAATTTTCTTTTCATTTTTTGTTTGGAAGTAAGGTCTGATGATCCACAGTCCTTTAAAAGGGCTGTGGTGAAATAATTTATTACATGGTCTGTTTTTATTTAAATTATTTGCTCTGGATTTACATTGAGCTCTCTGGATTTTATCCTCCTTAGGTTTTACCCATACGGATTACCTAGTTTTTTATAAACTAACTATATATATATATATATATATATATATATATATATATATATATATATATATATATATATATATATGTGTGTTAGTGCACATGAGAACTGCTGTCCAATTTCATTGTGCACTGAACAATGACAAGAAAAATAAATAAATAAATATCAGTAATTATAGATATTTAAAATTAAATGCACAGACCTTGAGTTACATAAAATATATCAACAAATAATTTATTGAAAATATTTTTAATAAAATCTGATCTTATAAGATGAAATACATAGTCTATTTATAAATATATTTTGAATATTTCACCAACATCAGTTTATTAATACCATTTCTTTGTTAAAACATTTGCATAATAAAAGCTTACATATATACATTGCATACATACAGTGTGTGTGTTATTAGTAACCCCTGTGTGTAAATGCAATAATGATTGTATTAGCATAATTTGTAATGGAATCTGGAAATAAATTTTTATTGCAAGTAACTATCTTTTCCTAAAATTAGTTTCTTACTTTTTTGAACAAGAGAAAAACAGTGCTTAAATGCTGACTGATGTTCCTTTCTGTAAGTTCCCACTGAATCCCTTTTCTAAAATCTGATTTTTCCCTATGACTTGTAAAACATATTAAAATCAAATGATTGCAGCAACAATAAAGAGCTGAGTAACCTTTAAAGACTTTAAGATTTCCCTAACATTGTGCAAAAAAAAAAAAAAAAAAAGTAGGACCTTCCACATCAGCCTATTATTTAGAACTTGAAAAATGAGTTTTCTATGTATCAATTTTAATCTTATTTTCAGGTATTTTTCATAATTTGAAAATAGCATTTTGATTGATAGAAAATCAAGAAAAAGGATGGAAACAACTTAATTTTTCATATTAAAAACAAATACATGGATGTAAATCACTGATATTTATATAATTCTGGTTTTATTTAATATAAGCCAGAGGTTGTGGTTACCATATAAAATTAATTTTAAAGTCAGCTACTAATTTTTAGATTTCTATTTTGTTTAAATTTGTCACTCATAATCTTTTTTACTCTGTTTAAAACAAAGACCCATCAAAAGAGGAGGAATAATAGTTTTAAAAGACTTTAATTGAGAGAAACAAACAAACAAACCAAAAAAAAAAAAGAAAATAATTCCAGTCAACGTTTTTTCTTTCACCTCACTGTTGACTGTACATACTGTTTCAGAAAGATTTGCTCATACATTCAAAACTAGTTTTGAGTTAGCTGCCAATTTTTCATACATGGCGCAACACAAAGGTTTGTGGAATTTGACTATGGTAAAAATAAGTAAATAAATAAAAAAATAGCTTAAAAAGGAAGGAAACTAGCATCTACTTTCTACCATCTTCAAAGTCCCTTTATATACAATGATTTCAGCATTTTTCAAGATTCCTTATACTGTTGGAAGGTAAGATGTCAACACTACATTTGGTTTGTATGTGATCTTCAAATTCCTCAACTTTTTAGTTCCACAACCTTTTTGAAGCTCTATTTCAAAGAAAATATTTTTCATGTCAAGTTCCCCTAAACTTTTTCTTAGCACCCTGTGTGCGTGTGTGTACACAAACACACATGATGTATGTATATATATATATATATATATATATATATATATATATATAACATCAGCCAGAAACAACTTTTTGGACTATGCCACATGTTGCCAGTTCTCCAGAGTCCAATTAGTGACATTATAAGTCTAAGTGAGGTGCTATGCTCAGTGTCATGGTGTTAACAAGAGATTCCCATGGAAGCTAAAGAATGCTGAACTTATCTGCTGGATATGCTTCAGGTACCTCCTAACTTCAATGTGAATGTGATTTGAGCTAGTATCACCTGTCTGTTACCACAGACAATTTCTAGCCAGACATCACTAGTTATGATCATTAAGGACTGTCCACCTTGGGTGATAATGCTTTCCAACAGTACACATGTGATACTGAAGATTTATGGATATCAAATGTTCCCCCAATTTCAGAAATTAAATGACTTATTTGTCTAGCACCTATTATCATGCTCTGTCTGAACTCCGATACTTCATGTTACCTTGTCATGAGCAAACTAGTCAGTGTTCCCACTGACTCACCAGATGTCAGAGTATAGCTAATATGGATCTTGGCATTCCCATGATGTCAAGGTATAGTGACACCACCTACAATTGCATATTGCTATTCCATGACTTTTGCCACATCAGTTATATATGATAATACAACTACAACTGAAAAATGAAAGAAATCTGAAAATTATGAGAATTTAAGTATATATACATGTGTGCCTGTGTAAGTGAGAAAGAGATAAAAGGCCAACTTAGTGACTAACAAAGTTGTGTATTTCCTACTAGTGTCAAAGTTCAATGTCTGAGTTCAGATAAAAAGGTTTCAAAGCAGCCCCACCCCTTTTTTCTTTTTTTTTTACACACACATACACACACACACACACACACAGTGTGTCAGACTAAGCTTAGTAAAATGTGTGTGTGTATAGAGTGAAATAGATGGACAATGGCATAATTTAATAGACTGAAATTACTTTTATTACTGTATTTATATTTACTAGGCCATTGTTAGCTTAAAATGTATAATATATATATAAGAAAAGCTAACCCTAAGTTTTTCCTAATTTTTAATTTGTTTTTCCTAAGATATATGTTACTATACGTGCACCCAACCACTTAAAAAAAAAACAACAAAAAAAAAAAAAAAAAAAAAACAAAAAAAAACAAAAAAAAAACAGAATATGTTTAGACAAAATGGCACAAAATAAACTAATTGGACACTGTCCAACTGGCAAGAAATTAATTCTGATAAAAATATCCTCATATCAAAGTAGATGAATTCTACTAACCTCTTTACGAGCTCCTGTTCGTTCACTTGCAGCCATCTGCAAACATAAAAGAATAAAAATGCATTATTTTCTAATTCATACATACCTATGGAACAACAGAATATATTCTTCAGTAAAAATGACATGAATTTTTTTTGGACTGTAAAAAAAATAAAATTATATAAAAATATATATATATATATATATATATATATATATATATATATATATATATATATATATATATATATATATATATATAAATTTATAATAAAGTACTTTCTTTAATTTTAAGTTGAGGTATTATCATTCCAACAATTGTTATTACTACAGAACATATTTTTCTTTTATTGTAACCATAGTATCCTGTGCTTTCCATACTATGGCCACCTTCTTCTGATATTTATTTGACATGGAAAGAGATAATGGAAGGATCTTTTCCCTGATTGTAAAAGCAAGTATTTACTTGCCACCCAACAAAGGCAAAATGCAAAACGTTTTTATTTCTTTTATTTTTTTTTTTTAGTCTAGAGGAATCTATATACTCACCTGATAGGCCACATGATTAAAGATGTATTTTGTAGTGGATTATGGGAAAACCACTTTAGTCTGATGAAGTCCTAGAGGATGAAATGTGTCACATGAAAACTTTTCACAATTTTTCATAGTCATTTTTCCTTGAAATAGTGAATTATGCAAAACTAATCTACTTCCATCAACCACTGTCAAAAATATCTGACCCTACTTACAATGCAATGGAGTGGTTTGGTCTGGAGAAGAGATCTCTAGTCACTCAGTGTTCAGTCCATTTTTGTCTTGCCTCAACCAAAAATAGAAACAAGTTTAATTGTTTTTTTTTTGTTTTTTTTACTAAACTTAGTTTAGTTTGGCACAGGGCCAGAAATATTCAGTAGTAATGATCAACCATACTAGTTTCCTAACTATTACTCTATGCTTTGGTGCCCAGACAAAGCTAACCGTTAGTGGCAAACTATATGAAAATGTAACAAACAGGGTTGCAAATATATTGATCAGATCAACCTATTCACACTAATCAATATAGGAGATTCCATATTTTATATGAATTGTTCTTTAATACTTTCTCTAGAAAGAAAAGAAATCTACACTACTCTGACATGCACAATTATCTGCAAAACTGAGATATGGCTTATGGTCACATCATGTTGAAACACTGGTTCCAGTATGATCACCAAAGTTAAGCAACATCGAGCCTGGTCAGTTTTCTGGATGAGTGACCACTTGGGAATACCAGGTACTGTAAGCTTGAATGTGCAGGTGGTGTAGTGGATAATGGCTTGAAATTGTTAATGAGAGCAGAGTTCCAATTCCAGTTGGGTTTGTTATATTCACTTATGCACATATGTGAATTGTGGTATGATAGTTATAAATTACAAGTGATTCATTATTTCATTTGTGAGGTACCCTTCCAGAGACTCATGGTTGTCAAATTGGAAAAGGGTGGGTCCTGTGTGGATCATTACCATTTCTCTTCTGCTTTCTTTTAACAAGCTGGTACACTTTCAACCATGATATTTATCTATAGGAAATACTAAATAACTAAAAAACTATGCATTTTTAGACTAATCCTTTTGCAAATGTTAATCAGAATTAAATTTCCTTTGCATTAATATGTAATAATATGACCAATTTCAAAAACTTCATTTTTTTTTTACCAAGACACCACCTGTAGGAGGTTTGGACAATGGTAACTCCATTTTAAAGTTTTTTCTTTTTCTTTCAGATCAAATGGCCACTTCTTAGACTATGACCTAAAACATTTTTTGTAATATATAATACCATAAAAAATTATGTAATTATGTAGTGATATATAAAAGAGGTTGTAGTATTGCATGCAAATTAGGTAGACAGGTATAAATAGAGAACAACTGGTGAACATAGGGGCATTGCTTAGCAAAACCATTTGCTAAACATAACATGTAGAACTGTGCTACGATAGCTACTACACAGAGAGATATACCAAACATAACAATGGCATCGCTGATATGATCGTAAATTCACTGGACAACCCAGAACATATAGAAACATGGGTAAGAACTTTTGCTGCATTTGCAAGAGTGAAAAAAAATTAAGAGACACAAAGACTGACGGAGGAGAGAATGAGATAATGGATTTATTTCTTGCTATCACTGGGTGCGCAGCTGTGAAGAAAATTTTGACAATGTGTTACCAGAGTGAATTAGAAGAAATGACATTTGAAGAAACTGTTAAAATTATAAAAAGAACATAAGACTAAAGAAAAGATTGGTCATTGCTGAAAGAACCAAGTTTTTGGAGACAAAACAAGCACCCAATGAGCCCATTATACAACACTTACATAGATTGAAAGAATGAGCCAAGTATTGTGAATTTGAAAAGTTGGGAGCTTGGGGAATGACTACAGAAGACGAATTAATCCTTCTCAGAATAATTGAAGGCTTGCAAGGCCAAAACCACAAATAAAAAATACTGGAATATCTACAGAGTAGTAGCAAGTGTTTGGAAGCTGTGTCGAGTTTTTACAAAAGTTAGAGTTGATTAGAGAATTTAATCAACCAAAAGAAGAATTCAAGATGTACAGGATGAGCATGACCAAATCCATAATTAAATGTAGATATTGTGGAAAAAATCATGTGAGACAAGTACAAATGTTCAGCTCTAGGAAAAATATGCTCACATTACAAAAAAAGAGACCATTTTCAAAATGTATGTAAATACGAAAAGAAAATAGAAAGAATACATATGGTACGAACCTCCTCCTCTAAAGAAGCTGAAATATCTACAATGAATACAAAAAAAGAAGTAGAGAAAAAATAAGGATAATTGACCAACTATTTAACATACAAGTGAAGTCACATTGATACAAAAAATTTCTGGATAAAATTAGGATGACCTAAATTAAAAAAAAAAGCAACATCTAGTTAAAGCAATTTGATGAAACAAGTATAAAAATAATGGGTGCATTTCAAGGCAATTTTGAAACCAACAAGCATTTTGAAGTAATTCCCATTACAGTTGTAGAATGTGAAAAAGATTATGGATTACTAGGAATTGATGTATTAAAAGTGGATACAGTAAGGCTAATGAATTCCATGGAAGCAGAAGAAAATGAAATAGGATTGTTGAATGGCTATAAAGCAAGCATTTGATTAAAAGAAAATTATCTCCCTAAATATATAGTCAAGAAAAGTCCCAATTCATATCCTACCTGATAGTAGCCAAATTAAACAAAAATTATACAACAAGGCATACTAGAAAGAGGACATCAAGGTGGAAGCAATTGGGCGTCACTGGTAGATGGAGATTTAAGGATTTGTACCGATTACAAGATAGGGGTAAATCATCAGATATGTTCAGACTCTTTTTCTTTGCCAAATATCAAAACTTCAAGCCACAAGTTAGCAAAAATGGAACACTGCAAAAATTGATCTCAAGGCAGCATACAACCAAATAGAAATTGATGAGGATTTTCAAGGAAATCCCCACAATAAACACCCCTATAGGCTTACTAATAGAGACACAGCTGCTATTTAGGGTAAAGACTTCGAGCCATATTTTCCAAAAAGCAATTGAAAAATGTAGATGCTTTATCGAGATTACATTTCAAGAATAAAACAGAAGAAAAACAAGAAATTGCCGAAAATAAAATAATACACTGGGTAGAAACAGACATTCTTCCTCTAAATAGCCTCAAAATAGAAACAAAGCAAGACCCAATATTAAGCAGAATATTAGAGAGAATAAAAAATAATGTGTGGAGCAATTGTTTGATGACAGAGCGACCCTTTAAAGAAATGAAATACAAACTAACCATAGAAAATGGCATAATATGCAATGGGGATATAATTGTAGCTCCACAAATACTGAGTAAAGGATATATTAAAAGTGTTATATTCCGTGCTAATAGGAATATATACTTGAAAAACAAGGTGGATAAAAGAAGTAAAGGTTTATTGTAAGAATCCAGTACAATAAGAATAAAGGTAACAGTTATGCACAAGGTCGTCGCAAGTCAATCCAGTAGTGAGTGCTACTATTGGAAGGTCAGTAGTTCTTGTGTAAGTCTGAGTCGTACTCAACAAATTTCAGCTAGTCACTGTAGTCTGTTGACTTACAGATATTTATAGGTAGTTACTACCTATAGTGTAGTCACACATGGGGACGACAGGTTATTCCATTACATCAAAAGGAGTACATGATGATGTGCATTGTGGTGTAATAGCAACAAAAAAAAAAAAAAAACTAAAGTTGCAAGCTTGGTGGCCAGGGTATTCAAAAGATGTAGAGGAATATATTAAGAGATGCTGAAAATGTGCAGAAATAAAAAAAACTTCAAGCAAGCAAAAGTTCACTCATGGCCCAAGGAAGCAGAACCATAGGTTAGGGTCCACATGGATCACTTGCATATCAAAGATAGGGGATTGTTCTTAGTATTAGTGGACTCATATTCAGGATTGCAAGAAGTGGTCAAAGAGTAAAAGACAGAAAAGCCACCACAATAAAGCAAATAGTAAGAACTATATTCTCAAGGAATGGAGTACCCTAGACAATAGTCACCGACAATGCACACAAATTTTGCGATGAGAACTTATTATGTGCATGGTTAAAACAGATTGGATGCATCTCATACAAGACACCACTGTATCACCCACAATCTAATGGCATTGCGGAAAGAATGGTACAAACAGTGAAAATGGGATTAAAAGCATTCTCACCACTTAAGTGTATCTACCAAAAAGGCTCCTCAGTTACAGATCCATTCCACATGCAGGAAGGAAACTGAGCCATTTGGCATTAATGGGAAGACAAATCAGAGTCCCTATAACTATGTCCTTTTCAATGAAAGAAAAGGTATAGTATAGAAAGAATAAAGAGGCTGATCCAGAAGAAGCAAATTTCCTGGTACAAAAAGGACACACCACGCCTATACTTGAGAAAAGGGACAAAATATACTGGCACATGCAGATTAATTCAGAAGTAGGAACAAACTGGATGACATGGAAATGGAAGATCAAGAACAAGAGACAGAAAGTTACACAAGTAGAGCAGAGCAGGAAATGGAAAAAAAGTGAGAATAAAAAGACGGAAGAGACTGAAGAAGAAAATGAAGAGAGACCAAGATTACCATTAAAGAGAAAACAAGACAAGAGGAAGGACAACACAGTACGAGAACAAAGAGGAATAGTAAAAGAAAAAACAAGGTTATACAACCTCTCAAATTCAGGGAGGTGTAATATCATATGCAAATTAGGTAGACAAGTATAAATAGAGAACCCATTTGCTAAACCTAATGTGGAGAACTGTGCTATGACTGCTACTACACAGAAAGATGTACTGTATAAAAGGCAGTATTGCTATACCTATGGGTGAGTTATCTTCTTTTGATGACACTACATCTGTCAGAGAGAAAAAATAAAATAAAATAAAAAAATAAAAGATTGGTCATAGTGGAAAGAACAAAATTTCTCAAAAGTAGACAGAAATCAGACAAAACTATTATACCATATGTACAGCAATTGAAAGAAGTGTGGAGATATTGTGAGTTTGAAAGAATGGGTTTGGAACAAATGACTATCAAAGATGAGCTAATTCTGCAAAGATGGATTGAAAGAATGTTTGACATCTCGTACAAGCATAAAATTCTAGAGAGGCTTCAAGTACATAATATGAATCTGAAAGCATGTGTGGAGTTCTTACAACAATTGGAATTGATAAAAACAATTTAATGCCTTTGAAGGCATTATGGAGACTTATAGTGCTACTAAAAGCTTACTTGTATGCAGATATTGCAATAAGGAACATGAAAAGAGCAAAAAATAAATGTGAAATGGTGTTTTAAGTGCAAAATAAGGAATCATTTCCAGACGGTATGCACATATGAAAAGCAAGTGGAAAATATAGATCTTCTGATTGAAAATACAGAAGTATTTGAGATAAAAGCACAGGATAAAAGTAGGGAAATGTAAAGTTGAATAGAGTAACTTTACTCATGCAGGTGGATATTGGAAGTGATGTTACATTTGTACCGAGGAATTTTTGGGAAAGAATAGGTAGACCAAAGTTAAAGAAAAGTAATCTCTAGTTGAAACAGTTTGATGGGTCAATCAGCAAAATTTGAGGATGCTTTGAAAGCACATTTGAGATTAAAAAAAAAAAAAAAAAAACAGATTCGAGATAATAACCACCATAGTGGTGGAAAACATCAAAACCCATGGTCTTTTAGAAATTGACATGTTAAGAGTGGATACTTTGAAGCTTAACTCCA